TGCAGTGATTTACACTCTGAGACGACCCTGGGCCCATTTCCATCTGCAAATAACTCAGAGGTCACCTCCTGCCTCCTGGGCCCCAAGAACCTGTGGGAGAACCTGCTGTACCCCATTACCTTTGATTAACAGGGTGTCTGGGGCTGCTCCTTACTCCATGAACTGCTCTGGGTGCAAAGCAAAGAGCCAGCTGCCAGAAAGCTTTTATCCAAATAAATGAACAGGAGAAGGCAGCAGCACCTCTGGATCCTGGGCAGGCACAGGCTGCTGTGAACCACAGCATCATTTAGGCTGGAAAAGACTTTTCAATCCCCACATTCCCAAGTGCCACATCCACACAGCTTTTAAATCCCTCCAGGGATGGGAAACTCCAGCACTCCCCTGGGGAGCTTTTTCCAATGCCTGACAACCCCTTCCATGAAGACAATTTCTCAAATATCCAACCTGAATCTCCCCTGGAGCAACCTGAGATGATTTCCCCTTGTCCTGGGTGTTCCCTGGCAGCAGAGCCCGATCCCCCCAGCTGTCCCCTCCTGGCAGGGAATTATGCAGAGCCAGAAATTCTCTCTGTTCCTCCTTTTCTCCAGGCTGAGCCACTTTCCCAGCTCTCCCAGCCCCTCCTCATCAGATTTTTGCTCCAGATCCTGACATTTCTTTGTTTTTTCCGACTTCAAAGCCTCTCAGCCTGTTTGCCACCCTCTGGATTTGGCCACAGAGGAATGGAGGAGGTGGGAAGGCTGTTGGGCGTTGTTGGAAAAGGAGGGGATGGATCCTGCTGCTGCAGATGGAAAAAGGCTGGTGGGATTCAGGAAGGCCATCACACCAAGGCTTGGGAAACATTAAGGACTCTCCCTGCTTCTCTTTAAACAGCAAATATTTCACTTTGCAGGTGCAAACAGATCTTGGTCATACAGCAATTCCCTGGATACTTCCCCAAGCTCTGCAGGCCACAGGAATTCCCATGGACACGAGAGCAGCACATTCCCAGTGTCCCAATCTCCCCCCAAAAGTTCCCCTGGCAGCCAACACAGAACCCTGGCCAAGTGTGCTGAGGAAAAACCCTCTCTGCTCTTGGCTCTGGTGTTCCCAGGCCACAAACTCCTGCAGTGTTTCCCATCCCACAAGTCCAAATCAGCTGGAATCGAGTCCCAGTGTGGGATTTTTGATTCTGGATAGGGATCACCTGCATCCCTCATTCCAGGGGTGCTGGGGCAGCAGGAGCTGAGCTCCAGGGGACACCTGAGGTGTCACCTCTGCCTGCTGCCCATCCCTGCTGATCCCACAGGGCCTGGGGTGGAAATTCCCAGGGCTGAGCTGTGCTGCAATCTTGCAGGGATTTGCAATCTGAGGACAGCCAGTGTCTTCAGCCTGGGCAGTTAAACCCTGGGTAAAATTAAAATGGAAAGCACAGTTTTCCTTCCACTAAAGTCAAGATTTGTTTCTGGTCTCTCCAGGAGGACCTGGACACGCTGCCTGACCTCCTCAAGGAGGGAGTGCTCCCAGCTCAGAGCTTTGCTTTAGAATCTTGGGATCACTGAAGTTGGAAAAGCTTTTTAAGATCACTGAGTCCAACCCTTCCCCCAGTGCTGCCCAGGCCACCACTGATGGGTGTCCCCAAGTGCCACATGCACACAGCTTTAAAACCCCTCCAGAGATGGGCACTCCACCTCACTCCTCACAGGATTTGTGCTCCAGAGCCTTCACCAGCTCTGCTGCCCCTCCTTGGATGCAGAAAACAAAAGGAATGTGGTTGAGAGCGGAGAGAAGAGGCAAAGCCCCACGATCCCAACCCAAAACAGAGGGAAGCTTCTTCCTGCGCTGCCCAAACCCAGCAGAAACTTTTCACCGTGGGACCTCTGACCTCTTCAGCTTCTTTTTAGTGCCTGGCAAACCCAGGCTCACCTTTGCAGCCTCTGGCAGGAGCGTCCCAGCCCCAGGGAGGTGTCCAGCCATGGGCTGAGAAGTGCCAGGGACTCAAGAGTGATGGGTAACAACTCAGTGTTTGAGAGTCAGGCAGGAATAACTGCTCTGTATCTCTCTCTCCATTTCCCAGCCCAGAACACTTCCAAAATCTGCTACCAGAACCCACAACCTTCTGGGAGACCTTTTTAACCTGCGCCAGCAAGAGTAAAATGATTTTAAGACGGAGTTTGATCAACTGGTGGGGATTTCAGGGCTGTGGGAGACAGCAGAGCCCTTGGAGATCCCTCCCAGTCGGTTTGTATTTGTACACACGCACCCATCCATGTATCCACACATCCATCTACCCATAAAAACACATCACCAGGCTGCTGAGCCTGCACTCTCCACACTTTTCCAGCAGAAAACAAGAGGGCCTGGGATGCGCGAGGAATAAATGATTCAGCTCCATCTTGCTGCTCCTGCTTCTGGCATGCCAAGCAGCATTCCGGCTTGTCAGGATATAAAACCCCAGGCAGCTGCAATATCTGTGCAAAAAACTGGGACAATTCAGATTAAAAACCCATTGCCCTCCAGGTTTCTCTGAATATTTTCCCCCCGCTCCCGACAGCTGAAAGGAAAACAGGGAGAGAGAGGATTTGTGGCCAGCTCAGAAACCCCAGCTCCACGAATGACAATTGATTGTGCCTCAGCACAGATTATTTTCAACGATCATCCCAGAGAACCCTCAGGGAGGAGAGGGAGAATTGGGGCAGTTTCCCCAAGAGGGGTGTGGAAAACCCTTGGGATTTGGTTCCAAGGGGAGCAGGCTGCACTTAACAGGGATTGCCCTGGGCCTGGCAATCACCCAGTGAGGAGTGAACGCTGCTGCTTTCAGGAAGAACAGCTCATCCAGGGTCAGCACAGGCTGTGGGGACAATCCCTGGGTCAGAAGGGAGGAGCATCCCAAAGAATATTCACAGCAAGAGGTGTTGGAATGATGCAAGAGAATTCAGGAGCTGGCTGATGGGTGTAAATTAAAAGAGGGTTGGTTTAGATGGGATATTGGGAAGGAATTCCTGGCTGGGAAGGTGGGGAGGGGCTGGCACAGGGTGCCCAGAGAAGCTGTGGCTGCCCTTGGATCCCTGGAAGTGTCCAAGGCCAGGCTGGACAGGGCTTGGAGCATCCTGGGATAGTGGAAGGTGTCCCTGCCATGGCAGGGGTGGAACTGGATGGGATTTAAGGCCCCTTCCAACCCAAACTATTCCATGATTCCCTCCTGTGAGCTGTAGGTATCATTACACTGCTCACCACAGAGAAAAGACCAGGCAAAAAGGGACACTCACCCTTTCAGCAAATCAAAAAATGGCACCACCAGATACTTTTTCAAGAGGATCACTGCTCCAATCCACAGGTGGTTTGGCTCCTAATGCCTCCTAATCCCAACCAGGATCAAGGCTTGGAAATCGTGGGTATTGGTTTTTATTTTTGTTTTTTTGGTAACAAAACTCAAGGTAAATAAGCTTTTCCCATGATTTTGCTGCATGAAACAAGGAGCAATCTGAGCTCTGGCCCTGAAATCACTCCTTCAATTATTCCTTAACACCACATTTAACTCCACAGACTCTTCCCCTCCCTTCAAAGCAAACTAAACCCAGGTGATACCAGTGAACCCCTGCAGAAGCTCTCTCAAGGCAGGTGAGACTTCACTGTCGGATTCCCATGAAATTCATCGTTTGAAATAATGTTACAGCTCCACATCCGTCAGCTACATCAGAGAAACAGCGCGGGGCTAAAGCTCTCCCCTGGGAAAAGGGATTTGCAAGGAAAAGCTAAAGCTCATTCCAACCCCACCACCGTGAGCAGAGCCACCAGACCAGGCTACTCCAAACCCTTTCCAGCCTGGCCTGAGCAGTGAAGTCCTCCCTCATGTTCAGGTGGAATTTCTGTGTTCCAAACTCTGCCTGTTGCTTCTCATCTGCCTGCTCCACATCACGAGAGCCTGGCTCCATCCTCAGCTCCCCAGTTATCCCGGGCATCCCTCAGCAGCTGGATGTTCCTGCTCTGGGATCAGTGATTGCACCCCATGGACAGGGACAAGGGCACCAAACTGCTCTGGCACATCTCCACAAGAGCTCTCTGAAAATCCAGAGAGGCTCCAGAGAGGAAAAGCCCCTTCCAGCAGCAACAAGCACCACCAAACTCTTCTCCCCACAGCATAACGTGCTCACCCCCCTTTTTGGGCCATCGTGACAAGTGCCAGCTTGTCCCTGCCTGCACCCACTGACCCAATTCGGGGTGCAGAGCTCCAGCCCGGAGATGTGCACCCTGCACGGACCACATGCTGCCACACAACCTGCCAGAGCATCCCCAGATATTCCTGGAAAGCAATCCAGCCCAGTCCCTTCCACCGGGAGGTCACACCACCCTCCCCCAGCTCCAATTCCTTGGAGTGGGGGCCGATTATGTGGATGTTCATCCAAGGAATGACGCCCATCCCCCTGTGCCCTGTCCGCCCGCGTCCCAGTCACTTCTGCCCCAATTCCTTCGGCCAGCGGTGCGAGGAGGGAGGGAGGCAGAAGGATGGATGGGGCAGAGGGATGGATGGGGCAGAGGGATGGATGGGGCAGAGGGATGGATGAGGCAGAGGCTGATGATGGCCACATCCCCGCCTCAAGCACTGGGATCTCTCCTCCAGCAGCTGCTCGGTACCCGGGGACCGGCTCCTGGCTGCCCTCTGCCAGCATCCTCCTCCTCCCAGCGCCCCCGAGTGCGGCAGGAGGCGGCACCCCACGGCTCCCCGCGCTGGATTTCACGCCTCCCTCCTCCTCCTCCTCCTCCTCCCCAAACCATCGCTCCCTGTTGCTCTCCCAGCTCTGCGGCGCAGATGTCCCCGATCCATCCCCGGGCCCTGCCGGCTCCTCTGCTGGGATCTCCGGCTGGCAGGGCTGGATTTGGGGGGCTGGATTTGGGGACCCGCATCAGGGGAGCATCATCTGCACGATGCCAAGGTCCCCGCGCCCAGGGGCAGCGCTCCTCTCGAGCGAGGCTGCGACACGGAACGGGAGAGGATGCTGAGGATGCTCCCAGCCGGGGCTCACCTTGTGCAGCTTCCACATGGCTCCCAGCGCCTTCACCTCGTGGCTGGAGTGCTTGCCCTCCTCCAGGCACTGGTAGCAGACGGGGCTCTTGCACTGCACGCAGTACATGCTGTGGTTCTCCAGCTCGTGGTCGGTGCAGGTGGAGATCTTGCGGGGGCTGAGCCGGCGGCTGACGCGGCCCTGGGCCGGCGGCACCAGGCGGTGCTTGGCCAGCGGTCCCCGCGGCGGGTGGCACCGCAGGCGGCACGGGTCGCAGTAAAACACATCGCACTGCTCGCACATCACGGCCGCCTCCTTGGGCGCCTTCTCGCAGAGCTGGCACCGCAGGGCCGCCGCCCTGCCCTGCTGGTAGCGGTCGATGACGCCCTCGAGCAGGCGGTTTCGGGGGAAGCCCCGCAGCCCGCGCTCATCCAGCACCAGGCTGCGGTGGCACTGCGGGCAGGTCAGGCACGCGTTGCGCGGCGGCGGCGGCGGCGCCAGGGCGGCGGGAGGCGGCGGCGCGGCCGGCGGGAACACGCGGACCCCGTTCGGGGACTTCTGGCACGGCGTGGTAGGAGCGCTGGCGAAGCCCCCGTAAGAGCCGTAGCCGCTGTCCGCCTCGCTGTACAGGCTCATCTTGTCCAGGTCCAGGTAGTCATAGTCGGAGACGGCCGAGCCCGAGGCGCGGCGGCTCTGCGGAGACTCCGAGTCCGGCGTCTGCACCAGGATGTTGCGGGCGCACGCCTGGCACAGGTTGTGCGAGCAGGGCAGGATGATGGGCTCCCGGTAAAAGGAGCCGCACACCGGGCATTTCAGCTCCTCTTCCATCTCTTCCATAAGGGAGGGAAGGAAGGCGGCGGCGCGGCTCCGGCGGCCGCGGCAGGAGCCCGAGGAGCGACCCGCACCGCACCGCGCCTCGGCGCCGACTGCCGCCCGCCCGCCGCCCGCCGCCGCGCCCCGCCGCGCCCCGCCCCGCGCCTCGCCATTGGTCCGCCCGCCGGCGCGGGGGTGCCCTGAGCGCTGCGATTGGCTGATCCGCCTGTCCGTCACCCGGCCCGCCCGGCGGCGCCGCTGCGGGGGCCGCGCTCGGGGCTGCGGCGGCGCTGCGGGGTCGGTGCGGGGAGCGCGCCTGTCCCGGCCCTGCCCGCTGCTCTGCCCTTCCCCTTCCCTTCCCCTTCCCTTCCCCTGCCCTTCCCCGGCCCTTCCCCGGCTCCCGGGAAGCGGCACTACAGCCCCGCGCTTCTCTCCCGCCCCGCGGACAGCCCCGCAGCATCCCCTGCGCGGGATCCAGGGGCGCTCCTGCGGTTTCCCCCCTGCCCGCACAAGGTGACTTTGGCAGTGCGAGGCACCCGCTGATGGATGCGGTCGTGAGGGTGTAGTTGTAATCGTTAGAGCGGCCGCACGTGTGCGATCCGGCTCTCCAGGGATGGCAGCGGAGGATGCCCGTGCGGTGATGCCCTGCGTGGGGAGCGGGATGCGGTCCCTGAGCCTGGGACGCCCCCGTGGGGACACGCTCCGCCACTGGAGAGCGGGGACAGCGGCCCCGAGGGGCTCCCGGGGCTTTGCTTCTCAACGCTGATCGCTCTGAAGGTCGGCTGAGGTCTTAAACTCTCCTGGCAACAGAGCGGCACAGCGGGTCCTGTTCAGCCAATGGAAAAATAGGATTGCATGGAATGTCTCTGTGTTATCTCTTATTTCCCTCTCTCTCTGCACGTTTGGGGCTGCCCGTCGGTGTGGATGCTCTGTGCCACCCGGGATGGCTTTGGGCTGTGTCCAGCTCTGGGACCCAAACATCAGAAGGATGTGGGGCTGCTGGAGTGAGTCCTGAGAGGTCTTGGAGATGCTCCAAGGGCTGGAACCAGGCTGGGAGAGCTGGGAATGTTCACCTGGAGAGGAGAAGGCTCCAGGGACACCTCAGAGCCCCTTGCAGGGCCTGAAGGGGCTCCAGGAGAGCTGGAGAGGGACTGGGGACAAGGGATGGAGGGACAGGGCACAGGGAATGGATTTAAGCTAAAAGAAGGAAGATTTAGAACACATATTACGGAGAAATTCTTCTTTGTGAGGGTGGGCAGGCCCTGGCACAGGGTGCCCAGAGCAGCTGAGGCTGCCCCTGCATCCCTGGAAGTGTTCTGGGCCAGGCAGGACGGGGCTTGGAGCAGCCTGGGACAGTGGAAGGTGTCCCTGCCCAGGGCATCTGTTTCCATGGTGGGGAGATGGCAAAAATACTGGGGGCACCCAGGGCTGTGAGTGGCCAGGACACACTGAGGGGCTCCTTCCCCTCTCCAGTGGGTCCATGCAGGTCCTGGGATTCAGGGAGCAGGTGCAATTCCATGCTCCCACACTGATATTCAGGCAGGGGGGAAGCCCAAGAGCTCAGATGCCCAAGAAAGGCACCACCTTTTCTCAGCCTGACAAGGAAGGACAAATGATAAGGAGAAAATGATTTTCTGAGTGCTTCTCTTTTCCACTCCAGTGTGCTTTGTTCTTCCCTTTCTGCTTCCTCAGGCTCCTGCTGGCTCCGTATTGACCGTGCTTCCCCTGGACTCTGCTGAACATTTCTCATTTGCTCCCTGTTGGTGTCTCTGCTCAGAGCTGGTCATTTTTTTTCCACGCTCTCCCTCCTCGAGCTGCCCTTTTGCCGAAGTAAAACCATCATTCCTTGTTTGCCTCTTGTTTCCCGTGGCCATTTTTCACCCTGGCAGGTGTGGGATTGCCATTTCTGCTGGGGTGATCCCGCTGATGGTGGAAATGGGCAGGAAGAGGAACACAGCCAGTGCCTTTGGAAACAACCGTTGCTCATAAACATTGAGCTGTTTTCTTCTCGGCACTGCAGCTTGAGCCCTCAGCAGCTGCTCCTGCTCTGGCTGTGTTTTATTTATGACTGTCACTCCTGTCACTGCCCCCTGAGCTGCACAGCTCTGCACCTGCAATAATTGCTTGACCCAGCTTCAGCATTCATCTGTCTGACGTGGCTGTGAGCAGTTAAAAGGTGGAGAAATTGTCTTGTTCTCAGCTGGCTCCTGCTTTTCTGCTGTGGCTCTTGCCAGGAGCCTCACCTCCACACAGAATCGTGGAATCATCGAGGTTGGAAAAGATCTTTGGGATCATCAAGTCCAACCTTGATCCCACACCTTATGTGCCACGTCCAATCATTCCTTGGACTCCTCCAGGGATGGGGACACCAAACCACCCTGGGCAGTCCCTTCTAAAGCTTGACCACCCTGAAATGAGAATTTTCCTGGATTTTCCTAGAAGCAGCTCCATCTCCTGCTGTTGGTGCATCTCCTGTTGTAACCGGCCTCTGATCTGGAGAGTGTGAAAGCCACCGCAGGGCTGAGATAAATTGAAGTCATTCAGACTCCCTAAGTGCTGTTGGATCCTCTTGGTGAATGGTAATAAATACCTGAGCTGGGCTAGAGCTCATAAATAAAAGAGAGAAATGAACCAACACAACAACTCTGCAGCCTCTTTATTCATCTCACACCCAGAACACCTTGAGGAGATAAATCAGAGAGTGGACAAGGGCTCAGAGCTCCTCAGAGGAGAGGGTTGGGAGCACCAGAACCTTTCCAGAGGTTCTCCCACGCTGCTGGAGAGGCCTCGGTGTCTGATGCAAGCAGATCTTCCCTGTGGGAAACCTCCTCCAGGCTCTGGGAATGTGTTTCCTCTCGTGCCTGGAGGTACCTCATGTGGTTCCTTGTCCCTGCACAGGACCTCTGCTGCTCCTGTAGAACCCACTGTGCTGGAACACTCTCCCTGTGCCCCCTGGGAACATCTCAGCAGATGCAGCCAGAGCTTGGAGTTGTCTTTTTATGACTCCAAGACATTGGCAGCTCATAATTCATCCTGTCACCAACCAACACACCCCACTCCTCCTCCTCCTCCATCATTTTGAAAGGATGAGCTCTTGGCTGACAGGAGAAATCTTCGTTTTTGGGTCCCTGCGTGCATGACCTTGAAATCCACATCCCTGCAGTCATCCTGCTTCCTCAGGTCACCCAGAGCTTTCAGCACATCCTGATTTCCCTGTCCTGGGACAGCTCCTGGCAGCAGGACAGGTGCTGAGGTCACTCTCTGGTGCCAAGACCATCGTCAGGAATGCTGGCACCGTGCCTGGAAAGGTTCCAGGGCTCCCAGAGTTCCGGCAGGAGCTGCCTCCCAGAGCAACTTCCAGAGCTTCTTGCTGGCGACATCATTTGCTCCAAGCACCATTTCGGGAGCTCAGGAAATTGGGAACCCTTCCCAATTGTTTCTGAGGTCTCCTCCTGGCAAGGAAAAGTGCCAGGCTTTTGTGGATGATCGACTTCATTAAATGCAGGTGGCATCTTCACCCGTTTGTCTCAGTGTCACAAACACGAAGGATCCAGGAAATGCTTTGTGCCTGTAGCCAAACTTTCCAGTTTTTGAGCATTTGGAACATTGTGATGCCCAGTTCTCCAGACTCAGTTTCCCTTTACCCAGGACAGGTTCCATCACTCTGAGCTGCTGCAGGCTGAAGGCAATGCCAGCTCTGCTGCCTCACTGCTGGCAGGGAACAGCAGCTTCCTGGGAGTGGTGAGGTTTCCTGGGGTTAGATGGATTGTGGAAGTTAAAGGAAAACTTCCCAATGGCAAAACACTCTGAATTTTTCCTCTTGTGTAGGAGGCAGACGAGGAGGCTCAGCACAAGAAGGACGTGGAGCTGCCAGAGCCATTCCAGAGGAGCCACGGAGCTGCTCCAAGGGCTGGAGCCCCTCTGGAGCCAGGCTGGGAGAGCTGGGAATGCTCACCTGGAGAGGAGAAGGATCCAGGGAGAGCTCAGAGCCCCTTACAGGTCCTGAAGGGGCGACAGGAGAGCTGGAGAGGGACTGGGGACAAGGGATGGAGGGACAGGACACAGGGAATGGCTCCCAGTGCCAGAGGGCAGGGATGGATGGGAGATTGGGAATTGGGAATTCCTGGCTGGGAGGGTGGGCAGGCCCTGGCACAGGGTGCCCAGAGAAGCTGTGGCTGCCCCTGGATCCCTGGAAGTGTCCAAGGCCAGGCTGGACAGGGCTTGGAGCAGCCTGGGACAGTGGAAGGTGTCCCTGCCATGGCAGGAGTGGAACAAGATGAGCTTTGAGGTCCTTTCCAACCCAAACCATTCCATGATTCAGGGATCTCTCTGCTTCCCTCTCTCTTTCCCCAAACAACACTCAGGGCTTGTTTGGCTGATGAGCAACACCAGCAAAGCTGTTCATCACCACCCACACGGAGTGGGTGTGAAACAACCCCTGGTTCAGAACTGCTCCAGGCCTTCCCAAGAACCTGTGGAGGTGTCCAAGGCTGCTCCTTGCTCTGGCACAGGGAGCCTGGATCCTGACAAACACTAATGACAACATTAACCGTGCAAATGATTGAAATATTTAATGATTTTTTTTTTTCCCTGTGTCAGACTTTAATTACAATTACAGAGAACACACTTTGCTTATTAAATCCAGCACTTAATTGGTAGCACAGGGTAAGGATAAACCCCCCAGGTGTCAGAGGAGGTTGTTCTTGCCTGAGGAATTCCAGCTGCCACCATGGGCATTGGAAGGGGATAACGCTTCCCAAAAACATCTCCTGGAAATCACTTCTGAAAATAAGGTGGCAAAATTGCTCCATCAAGTAGGAGCCAGGCTGGCAAGATGCCAGGATCTGGGGATGTCTGACTGGAAGAGGAGAAGTTAAAGCTCAAATGATGCCTTAGATTGAGATGTACTGAAAAAAAAAAAATCTGTAAATCTCAATGTGCTGCTTTTTTACAAGGGTGACATCATTTATTTTAAGTTATTATTTTTTTTTACTCTCAGGAGCTGGTGGAAAATTTCTGATTTT